ATGGCACCCATTCACTGCAGAGGATCCACTGGTAAGCAAGGGATGTAAGGACTCAGGGTGAATACATTTTCAGCAAATTTTCATTTGGTCAAATAGTCTTATCTATTGTGACGTATATACCGAAAATAAACCGATATATATATATTTTTTGAAGCAGTCATGTTTAAATTTGAAAACATATGTTTCTATTAAGCAGCTAGATAAGACAGTTTAGAGAGTGAGTGTGTGTAGTTTATGTTGTAGAACAAATGGTCAAAGTATTTTCAAGCTATGTTTACCACAGGCTTTATTTTACTCATAAATTGAAAAAACCCCATTATAAAAGCCCATATAGGAAAATCTTGAAGGAATCAGCGGTTTTGACGTCACACCTACACCATTCTATATTGATTATGTCCATCTGGAAATAACTGGATTGTTGTTTGCTGATTGTTGTGATCTCATGTGAGTGACAGGATGCTGGAGGGAAGAAATAATTGTCCCACCATTGAGTCAGAGCACATATCATCAAAGAAGAGATGGTGTTGTGAGGAGGAGGAGGGGAAGTTAATGTTTTTGAATAAAAATAATAATAATGATGTACACAGATAAACTATAACAAACTGCGTAATAATTCAATAAAAGATATGAAATGTCCAATTTCACGGTGACTTGAACAAAGCAAAATCTGCATTTTTCCAGATACCCCCTAGAACCCGCTCACTGTCATATAGAAAGTCTAAAGAGTTTCAAAATAACCAAATAAGAAATTGGAGTGTCTACCTGGTCTTTGCGATAACAAATGTGCTTGGGTTATGTTCCATATTGGACTCTTAGTGCGGAATATTCATGATGAGTCCGGGCAGGAGCATGGGTGCAAGCCAGGGCGATAGATTTGGTTCATCAGCCAAGCACTTTATCTCACAGTGGGAAAAGACGCAGAGCGATCTTCTCCGCACCGCAGGTTCGCATATCAGAAAGAGACAGCCATGTGGAAAATAAAACAGGGAAATCAGTCCAAAGGACTTCAGGTCAGGGATGTGCTGAAAGTCATATCAACCGGTCAGACCGCTCAGGGAGGAGACCACAGCACTGTGGTGTTTTAGACAAATAGAGTAACTGGACAGTGAGGCTTCGGTGTACCAGAGGAGGTGATGAATCATACCGAACCCAGGACACATTCACCTGAAGGTGCAGTCTGTTTCCTCAGGCTGGAATGCTTTGAATGACTGATCTCAGATCTAGGCTGATTACCAGCAGGGTCTATCACAGTGAGCACATGGTGAACATTTAGGTGTTTAAATCCTATTTCATCCGCCACATACAGGCCTTTAGTTCTGATATAAAGACGGATGGAAGAAAGGTGAAAAACTCATCCAATGCTATCCAGAAGACCTGTCCTATGAAATCAGCCCAAAATGTTATATAATCAGTCTTTGTGGATTGTAGGCTCATCAGACTGTACTGTAGAAAGTGTTGTATGGTTTGTGTGCTGTTATTGATTCAAGATTGTTACAGATTGATACACAAGACATCCGTTTATTTGATGATGAAGATCTTGGGATATTCATCAAGGACAACAAAATAAAATAATAAACATGCCATAGCAAATATACAATTGATTTATATTCAGAGATTAAAGTACCAGTAATAGTTCACCCAAAAATTAAAATTTGCTTAAAGGGGTCATATGATGCTATTTTAAAGATCATTATTTTGTGTATTTGGTGTAATTATAAAGAATATCTCTTTGGATTTGAGACTTTAGTCTTTGCAACTTTACAGATCTTCTTTATGCACCAAGAGCTTGTAACACTCCAAAGAGAAAGGAAAACTTGAAATCGCATCATATGACCCCTTTAAAATTACAACTAGGATGCCTTGAGGGCGAGTAATTCATGGGCTAATTTTCATTTTTTGGGTGAACTATCCCTTTAATAGAGTACTTGTTTAAAGTTAAAAATGTCTTAATGATGGATTTGTTTTTTACAAACACACAGCTTTTTGCTTTATAAGATATTAATTGACGGACTGCAGTCGTGTGTATTACTGTGGATTATTGTGATGTTCTTATCAGTTGTTTGAGCTCTCATTCTGACGGCACCCATTCACTGCAGAGGATCAGGTGATGCAGTGATAAATCCAAGTAAGTCCAAGATAAAACCATGAGTAAATTTTCAGCTAATTTTAATTTTGTGGTGAACAGTTCCTTATATAATTGCAATGTATGTACTGTGCTCAGGAACATTCAAATGTCTTTATAATGTTTTTCTTTTCTGTTGTATATAATTTGAATTGTTTATAATGTCTTAAACCTACTTAAATTAATATCAGTTATGCTCTGCCTGTGATGCAACTGTGTCTTTTAATGAAAAAATAAATATATGTGCAGCATTAATTTTAAAATCTATCACAGCTTTCTAAAATCATACAATATCACAGCTTTGTCCTCTGTATAATCCATAGACTATATTCAAGTAAAACATGTGTGCCTGCTGAGCCGTCTATCAAAATATAGAAGTATTTTAATTATCACTTTTGAGGATCCTACTGTGTTGTCATATGTCACTGTCCAGAGTGTGAAAATCTTAGTCACCAAATAAATATAACATGTAAAATAATGTAAAGCTTTGTATAATACTATGTTTGAGGTTTCTAGAAAGTTGATGGGATTTGCAATGATGCCTAAAAAATGTTTAGTACACTAATCATGTTTGGAAAATAAAACAGATCACTGTAGCTACTCATCTCACTGTATTATATATATTTTTTATTGTGTGTAAACAGTGTGGTTTATAAAGGTATCAGTGTTGTAATGAACAGTGACATTTCTAGCTAGTGAAAAGAGTCACAGTACAAATGCCACCCAGGAAATCAATAAAAGATACCTTGTAGGTAATCAAGTCCTCTAAAACTGTGGAAATCAATATGCACATTCAACAAAGGTGTCTCTTGACTTTTTCATAGCATGAAGAAAGGCACACATCCAATGTGTACTGCTGTGAGAATTATTAGAAATGTTATACACTTATAACACTTATTTTACACACTTAAAATGCAAACTTTAACATGAAAGGAAGCTAGATTTAAATGGACAGTTTATCAAAAAATGAAATAATTTACTCACCCTCATGTCTTTTTATACATCTAAGACTTTTGTTTTAAACTGTGGAACACAAAAGACGTTGTTCTGTTGAATGTAAAATGTGGTAACGGTTGCAAAAACTGCAAACCACATAAAAAATGAATAAAAAATACAACAGCTCATATACTATTTAGTTTGACTTCCTGAGGCTCACCATGTGAAGGTTAAGTACCTTATTTCACTGAGCATTGTTTATTTGTGTTAGTATTAGTTTTACTTTACAATGGTATGCTACTACTAGTAGGCCTAGACATGTATAGTAATTGTATTGAAAACATTAGTAGCTTAATAAATACTGACCCAGTTGTAAATAAAAAAATAAAAATAGATTATTTAGTGATCTACAACTTTTATACAGAAAAAAAACAAGAGTAAATTAATAGCATTATTATGCTAAAATGTAAATTTTCTTACATTTTCATAAGGGTGCATTCAGGTAAATTATGTACAGAATACAATCATTGATTTATATTCTTTATATTTTGCAAAATATATGTTTGTTTCAAGCTGTTGTAAAGCCCAAACAAATCTGCACGGCCTCTCTCACACATAACTTATCTGACATATACCGGAAGTGCCTGACAGTGGCGCGCTAGTTGAAAACAGACCCGCGACGCTGCCAGTGATGACGAGGATGTGACGTTTAACCGAAAACCGCCGTTGATCTACAGTAAATGTAGTCCGTTTTGTTTTTTCACCGGTGAGATAAACAACTATGGAGTTATCATCACTCATAAAGAAGATCGGTAAGACGCTTTGTAAGAGCGACAGTCGGCTTTTTGAGCGTTAAACAGCAAACAGCTGATATTGAAGTAGCCTGATTAGCTAAACAGAAGTGAGGCAGTATGTTATGATCAGTTAACTGTTATTTGGCATAAACATTTATGCATAATTACCAGTCATGCTAATATTGTTGTTGTATCTTGCAAAAAAAGTATTTCTTTAGTTTGCTGAAGTCATACAAAGGCTAATATAACGTTGTTGCGCCTGCGTTTAACAAAGCAGCTCACTCCCAAAGGATCTGCCAAAGTTTTCTTTGTTGTATTTAGTTTATGATAACAACAATCAATCTGCACATTTTTTTGTAAACTTGTGTGGTTGAACTGCAATCTGTGTTACAGTATCAGGAAAACGCATCAGCCTGCTTTGCGTACGCGGCAAATATCAATTTCTTGCTTAGTAGTTTTGTCTTGTTTTGCTGTACAAATATCTAAACATTATTGAATCATACATTTGCTTGTATCACACAAGGACATAAGATATTAAGTCTTGTTTTCTGAGAAATGTTTCAAAGTTTGTGTGTGAGTTTATGCTTAAAACAAGAAAAAAACTAATTAAAAGAGGAAACAATATTATTTTTCTGACCCCACTTGCAGATATTTGATCTTGTTTTAAACAAAAGCTCATTAAATTGATACATTGCTTCTCAAGCAAATTTATCTTGACTTAAAGGGATTGTTCACCAAAAAAGAAGGTTTTGTTTAGGTGTTTCCAAACCTGTATGAATCAATTGTTGAACACACAATAAGATATTTTAAATAATTTTGGCAACTGAACCAAAGTTAACGGTTGGCTTCCACAGTATGAAAAAAATACTATGGGAAATCAGTGGCTACCGTCAACTGATTGGTTACCAACATTCTTCAAAATATCTTTCCTTCTGTTCAGCAGAAAAAAGGCACTCATACAGTTTTGGAACAAGTGGAGGGTGGGTAAATGATGAAAGAATTTTCACTTTTGGGTGAACTATCCCTTTAAGAAGGTTTACATTTTTTATTGAATAAATATAAGTGCTGTCAAATGATTAATCGCATCCAAAATAAAAGTTTTTGTTTACACAATATATATGTGTGTACTTTTTATATTTATTATGTATATATATATATATAAATTACACACATACAGTATATATTTTGAAAATATGTACATTTATTTACACGTATAAATTTATATTATATATAAATATATTTAATATTTAAACATAACATTTTTCTGAAATATATACATGCATGTGTGTTTATTTATATCTTCATAATAAATATACACAGTACACACACATATATTATGCAAACAAAAACTTATTTTGAATGCGATTAATTGCGATTAATCGTTTGACAGCACTAAAAATATATACAAAAATACTTAGTAAGAAAATATATTTTTTTGCAGTGTAAAGAGTGTACATTTTTGCATTGCATTGTACTGTATTCATACATCATTATTTTTCTCCATAAGGACACTCCTTAGTGGAAATCAGAGTTCGGGCTCTTAAAAATATCAGAAGCAAACTGGATCATGGTCTCATCGCCATTCCTGATCTGGTCCAAGAAAGGATGCTGTTTGTCTTCCTTTTGGAATGGTTTAATTTTCCGGAGGTTCCAATACAGGAGGAAGTTCTGGAGTTGATCGGCATGCTGTCCAAGGTAATTATAATGCACAGAAGGTATGTAAAATGATTTGAGTGTCTTTATATTGCCGGGCTGCATTTAGTGAGATGTTCTCAATGACAGGATGTGATGTTTTAATGGGCCTCACTGCAGTGGCACTATGCATTACCAATCAGATCATGAAGGGAAAAAAAGTACAAGTGGATGTCAGCATCGACAGAAAGAACCAGGCAGATTATTCTGCTAGATGGCATGTTTTGAGTAGTATCTAATTTTGGTTTCCGTTCCATGTCAAAGCACCCAAGCGGAGCCCAAATGCTACGGGAGGTAGGGGCTGTCGAATTCCTAACACAGCTCTCGCCTAATGTGGATCCTCGCCTCCGAACAATCATAGACGGCATCTTCGATCAGCTCTTCCACCTCCCAGAGGCCCTGCCTAGTTGTCCACCCACAACCTCCTACGAGCCACACTCTGTTCCCTCACTGCAGACGGGTATAAAAACATTACATTGATTTTATATCCTTCTGTTCTGCAGATTACTGTAGATATCGACGTCATTATAACCAATGTCAAGGTTGCCACATAGTCCTGTTTGAGTAGCTGTCTGACAGCAGCTACGGAATGAACATGAGTAGACTGTCTGATTCAAGGCAGAGGAGAGCATGGAAGTGCTGGGCCTGATTCGCTTTTCAACTGCAGCTGCTTTTGTGTTCTCAGAAGACGACTCGTCGACTAGGGGATATTTCCAGTGCAGTAAACCCAAGCAGACAGATGCTCCCACCCCCAGAGTATCATGTAGGTGACATCAACATCAAATTACTTTTTGTTAACTAACTTTCAGGGAGAGCTTAAACTCATTAAATCTGTAAAATGGATCACTGTGGAATGTATGTGTTAAATAATCTAATATCAACACTGATAAGAATTGTCAGGCTTCGACAGCAAGTATTTTTTCTTCTGGCAAGGTTGGGGCAATTGTGCAGATTTGCATGCTAATATCTTTATTTTGTATTTAAAAAAACAATTGTATTAACTTTAGCATTTTAGCAATTTTTTATGTCTGTCAAAAGGATTTATATTATTTATATTAAATTTTTATATACAAAAAGGTTTTGAAATAAGCATCTTATTCTCACCAGGACTGCATTTATTTGATCAAAAATAGAGTTAAAAAGGTAATGTTGTGAAATATTATTGCTATATATAAATTACAAAAAAAATATTTTAAAATTTAGTTTATTCATGTGATGCCGTAACTCCTGATGAAACATTGAAAACAGTGCTGCTTAATATTTTTGTGGAAATCATTATACATTTTTCAGGTTTCTTTGATGAATAGATAAGCTCACAAGAGAACAGCATTTATTTCATAAATCCTTATTAAATAAATTGAATAAGCAATTATTAAATGCAACTTTACTGAAGAAAAGTATTATTATCTTTCAAAAGAAATCTTACTAACCCCAAACTTTAAAAGTTGAAACAGTATATTTTTAATGAGGCTTTTCATTTTATTTACAAAAAAAGGAAGAAGTTAAAGCAATTAATTTGTAATTTTCAACCATTTGAACCGATGCTTGTAAGACTGTCCCAAATCATTCTTACGATTCTGTCAAAATCGAATCTGTTGTTATCTAGTTATACAATGTTGCTGCCATATTTATGTATCTTTAAGAACAGTTGTGTTCAACATATTTCAGAAACCAGATGTTTTAGTTTGCCATTAACACCTGTACACATTGTACATGATTAACAGACTTGAAGTACAGTATTTCACCCAAAAATGAAAATTGTCAACATTTACTCACCCTCATGTTGTTCCTAAAATATTGACAGAATTTTTGAAATTGTTGCCTCTGTTTAAAGTCTTGAGACTGAAGTCTTTAAGGCTTTTTATTTCTTTACCCTGCAGTCAGTACTTCTGTAAGATGCTTGAAGTTCTCTGTTTTTCCATGGCTGTCCTTGAACACAACCGATCGACATATATTGTCATCAAATGAAAGGTATTTGTACCCTCTGCTTGGTGTCATTTTACCACAGCTGCTATCTAATATATATATCTTATTGCCGAAATGACCTGTCGCTTGTTCAATCTTTAGTTCCCTCAGAAGCGACAATCACAATTTAGTACGAACCACCTGCGAGCTGCTTCGTGACGTCATCATGCAAGACTTCCCTGCTGAAATATTCCTGCAAAGGCCAAGTACAGTTCAAGTAAGATTTAAATTTCATTTCTGTCAGTTGTTTTAACCCCCTGATGGGCGCTTCATAAGTTGAGTGACAGTGATGAAAGTGATATCGTGGGCTCTGTAATCCCCGTTCCATTCTATAATTGAATGAAACAGAATCTGATTGGCTGTACAATGCATTCAAGTCCGGAAAGTATTGGAATGACAGCGGCAAATCGTGTCTTATGTCTAGGACTGTACCGTGGTGATTATCTGGCAAGCTGACACTAGCCGTTTTAGTACAGGCATTTAAAAACAAGCATTGCTGTATTTCTGTCAAAAATGTGTTGGCAGGGACACATTTGAGATCATCTTTCTGACATATGTAGTCTCAATAGCCTCAATGAAAATCATTTATTATTCTGTTGTGCTAGAATAAAGTGTTTGAATTGTTTTGGAAGCATTCTTTTGTTCTTAATGCTCTTGATCTTTTGTATAATTGTTTAAAAATTGAAGGTGCCACTGATTCTGACTTTGGAGTGATCCGTTCAATTAGGTTTATTGAATCAACCTGATTCATTGGCATTTGCTTTGGTATCACTGGAGGGGTAGTGAATTTTAAATTGGTACAAATTACACAAGTCAGTATCAGGTGGCCTTTTATTTAGTGCCTAATTGAATGTAGAATCACTTTCCTTAAAACACTTGCAGCATTTAGATCAGCGGTTGTGTTATGTTATAACAATTGAAAACTTGCAGGTTTACAAGACAACATCAACTTCTGTTTTCATATATTGCTGTTTTCCCCTCTAGAGTCTGCTGTCACTTCTCGGTCTGAATGTTGATGGTGATGTCAGCTACCTGACGTTTCAGGCATTGGCCTGTCTGGAACAGCTTTGCAGGAACTTGAGGAGCCGCCTACGTTTCTACAGAGATCCAAGCTTCTGCTCATCCAAGCAAGGTACCAAACACCATCTATTATAAATATGTTAACTTGTTCTGTGGAGGTTCACTTATATTAGCTCATCTTTTTTTTTAGATTTTTGTTGCATTCTAAAAGTCAGAAAGTTAATTTATTATTTTTATTTATTTTATTTTTTTTACATGCATTGGCTTATTAACTATTACTATCAGTTGCATACACTACAGTTCAAAAGTTTTGGGTCGGTAAGGTTTTTAAAAATGTTTTAAATTAAAGTCTCTTCTGCTCTTCTTGTACAGTAAAAACAGTAATATTGAGATGTTATTATAATTTAAAATAAGTGTATTCTATTTTAATGTATTTTGCAATGTCATTTGCTCCTTTGATAGCAAATCTTAATTGAAATCATCATTACTTCAGTCTTCAGTGTCACACAATTCTTCAGAAATGATTCTAATTAGAGATGCACCGATTGCAATTTTCTTGGCCGATTCCGATTTCCGATTTCCGATTTCACACTTTTTGTTAGTGTGATCTGCCGGTACTGATTTTTGCCGATTCCGATTTTCTTTCTAAGAACTATAATTGACAGCATATACAAACAAAAATCTACTTTTCTTCAATGCAAAGTTTTATTTTCATAAAAGAACAAGTAAAAAGTCAGTAATAAAATAAGAACACAAAAAATTGCAAACAACAGCACAAATAAATGCAATAGAATAAAGAGAGCTATGAAACTAAGTTTTTCAGGTTAAGTAAGTTTTTATTCTGGTAAGAAATACTACAGAAATTAAAGTAATCAAATGTAAAATAACAAATCCAGTGTTATTTTACATTTGATTACTTTAATCTGTATTTAATTTTTACAGTGAAGACTACAGAAATTAATGCTTACCATTAAAGTTATAAAACGTATTCAGTCAAGAGCAGAAAGTGATTTTCTTTGTCTTTTGTTCTTTGATTAACATGACAGACAGCAGCAGGAATATTGAAGACAATTTTTAATATAACTCCGACTGGATTCGTCTGAAAGAAGAAAGTCATATACACCTAGGATGCATCGGGGATGAGAAAAAAACAGCCTAATTTTCATTTTTGGATGAACTAACCCTTTAACGTTCCAAAACTGACTGTGTTTAACTGGATACTCGTCAAGACGGGCATTTTGACATAATTTTGTATGTATTTGAACGTTTTACCGCAGTTAGCCAATCATTTTGTTATTTGTGGCTCCTCCGGGCCGATCATGAGGAAAATCGGCCGATTCCGATCCCTGGCCGATCGATCGGTGCATCTCTAATTCTAATATTTGGTGCTAAAAATATTCTTATTATTATCAATGTTGAAAATAGTGCTGTTTAATATTTTTGTGAAAACTCTAAACATTGTTTTCAGGATTCTTTAAATAGAAAGTTCAAAGAACAGCATTATAAACACAATCCCCCTGTTTAACAGACAAAGCTTAAGCCTAGTCTCAGACTAAAATGCATGCCTGGGCTGTAGGGCTGTCAAAAAAAATTCGAATTTTGAATATTCGTCGAATAACGTGTTATTTTATTACGCTTTGAAGAAATGTGCATAATATTTTGCTCGATGTGCCCTCTCGTGGCCTCAGGAGAGAAGCCAAAAGCTTTTTTCCCCCTAACTGAAATTATGCCTTTTAAATTCGAATATAATTCGAATTTTGATAATATTTAAGTAGAAAATTCGAATTTAGTTTTTCAGTCATTTTGACAGCCCTACTGGGCTGTTTTGCACTGCACTGCACTTGCACTTGCACTGATATATCTTAAAATATATCAGTGCCATTGATTGATTGGTTTTTTTCTAAAGCACGTTTATAAAAGATACTATGGCCTGATCCTGGCTTAACTTAAGTCCTGTCTGTGAAACCAGGCCTATAGTGGTCTTTACTGTCACTTTTGATCAATTTAATGCAACCTTGCTGAATAAAGGTATTAATTTCTTAAAAAAAAAATCTTATTGACCCCAAACTTTTAAATATTTATTGTGTATCTCCTAGGGATGCACCGATAGGATTTTTTTTTGGCCGATACCGATTTTAACAAACAACTATTGGTCGATTCCAATACCGATATTGGTCAATTGCATAAACGAGAAAAAAAACCTAACCTATTATTTATTACGTAAACTATAGGCTTTGTTCTTCACTTGCATTATCAACGTCAAACATCATCCTTCATAGACTATATCAGTAGTGAGGCGCTGGTCACACTGAACGGCACAGACTGTACTACGGACTATTTAAATTGAGCAGTGTAACTTTTTATGTTTCTTTAACTGTATTTTATTTTGATAATGAACAGGCTGCGATGTCAAATTATCAAAAATTAGTTGTATGTGCGTGTGAGGCACTGACGCAATCACTGCATTGTTTTCCCAACTGTTACTCTGTAATTTATGGTCATTCCAACGCTGGTTTGTCATACAGATAGAAGCAAAACATCATTCAAAACTGTAAAGCTTTTGCAAAATAAAGAAAACTGCTTTCTGCCTTCTCTCTTTTTTTTTCGTTGAACTTCGGAGCGCGTTACAATTATCCGAAACTCAGCACATTTTTTTCTCTCGTTTTGTTAATCTGTTAATGGTTTAAGTGAAATATATTTTGTATATAGGCCTATATATTCCTTTTTATGTAGCCTATATAGTTTTATTCTGTTTTCTCTGTTCACAGAACAGGTGTGTGATGTGGCCGTCTGACAAACTATATTTTATACAGATTTTATTTTGTTTTGGCAAGTATTTAATTATTTTGAAAAACGTTGGATTATGCAACAGACATGCAACTCGTTGTCTCCATGCAGTTAATTAATAAACCATCGGTATCGGCCCTTTTCATGCTATTTCCGATATGCCGATGGCTTTAAAATAATCAAAAATCGGCCAATAAATATCGGCGGCCAATACATCGGTGCATCCCTAGTATCTCTTATTCTAAATGTGATTTTACAATTGGACTTTTATAAATGCTGAATTAATATCCATCTTATCATTTCACCCCTTTAGACCCTGTTTCTCAGAACTCGTCTATCTCCTATCCTCAGGAGGTGAGGGCTACCCAACACTCGGGAGTCTCTTCCCCAGAGGAAATCTCCACCAGACCCTCTGTGGTGGGCAGACCCGGTCAGCGGTTACGTGGGGATGGCCAGGACGGAGATGCTGCCTCTTCTAGGTGCTTCATTCTCTACCTTTAAAATAAAATAGGAGACAGGATTTTCCTTGTTCATTTTTGAAATAAAAGAGTGTTTCCAGGCCTGGAAAAGGTTTTTTTTTGGATTATGATAAGCTGTAATATATTTAATTGGTTAAACATTTCTCTTTGTACATGCAATTCTTTAAAAAAAAAAAATGTTTATATTTATTTTAATTATAATTTTTTAAAAAACCTTGTCCAGAGTTAGTCAGTAACATTTATATCATTTCACCCCTTTAGACCCTGTTTCTCAGAACTCGTCTATCTCCTATCCTCAGGAGGTGAGGGCTACCCAACACTCGGGAGTCTCTTCCCCAGAGGAAATCTCCACCAGACCCTCTGTGGTGGGCAGACCCGGTCAGCGGTTACGTGGGGATGGCCAGGACGGAGATGCTGCCTCTTCTAGGTGCTTCATTCTCTACCTTTAAAATAAAATAGGAGACAGGATTTTCCTTGTTCATTTTTGAAATAAAAGAGTGTTTCCAGGCCTGGAAAAGGTTTTTTTTTGGATTATGATAAGCGGTAATATATTTAATTGGTTAAACATTTCTCTTTGTACATGCAATTCTTTAAAAAAAAAAAAATGTTTATATTTATTTTAATTATAATTTTTAAAAAAACCTTGTCCAGAGTTAGTCAGTAACATTTAAAAAAAAAAAATAATAATACTTTTGTTCAGCAAGGATGCATTACATTTACTGAAAGTGACAGTAAAGACTTTTACATTGTTATAAAAATATGAATCAAAAGAATTCAAAATAATTGCAAACAAAACTATATATAGTTTCTACAAAAAAATGTAAGCTGCACTCTTTTCTGTTTTCAACTTTGATAATAAAACATTTTTCTTGAGCACCAAATCAGCATATTAGAATGATTTCTGAATGATCATGTGACACTGAAGACTGGAGTAATGATGCTGAAAATGTAGCCTTGCTCTCAGGAATAAATTACATTTTAAAATATATTAAAAAAACCAAAAAAAAAACAGTTCTTACTGTTTTTTTTTTTTTTATCAGATAAATGCAACCATTTAAAAAAATCATATTTACCCCAAACATTTGACTTAAAATGATAAAATACTACAAAGTGTAAAATATGGAGTTTAAAGGCTGTATCTACTAAATTTAGGTTTATGTTGGAAAAGATGAGAACTAAATATAGCGAAAGTATTCATCACCACCTTTGAAGAATCTTTTCATTTTTTTAAAATGTTGCTCACAACCATTCATGTCTTTAGCAATTAAGAATTATTTTTGATTTGTGCGGTACAGCGGTAGCAGCAGTCAGAGAGGGGCTCCCCCCAGGCCAGCCCAACAGTCTCCCCTCCTGCAGCCCCACCCGGAGCTCCCTCCGGAGATGGAAGCGGAGGACTCGCTGGAGCTGCAGCTGCAGCAGTGGAGCCTGGCTAGATTCGCCGTGGACGCCGTGAAGCATGCTCTCCCTCTCATCAGGACAGGTGAGAGTCCTCTTAAACCCTCTTTCCTGTTTCAAACGCAGCTACAGCTGCTGCTGATCCCCTCACACGTATGCTTCCATCGCTCATCATATTCCCCTCTTTTTTTCTCATTCCCACCCTCTCAGAGAGCCTGAAGGTTTTCCAACGGGTGCTAGAGCTGCTGACAGAGGCACAGGGGCTGCTGGGAGACAGCATAGCCCCCGAGGTGTGGGACGAGCACAGCCTGACTGCGATAGAGCTGGCAAGTGTCTTCAATAACCCTCCTCCACGGTGCAGATAAATAGCCATGAGGCTGATGTCTGCATTAGTGCATACAAACACACACCTGTCGCTGCTCCATCTCACCCACTCCACTTACTCTGAGGGACAGATGGTCATAAGCTATCTGAGCAAATCAGTCATGGCACGACCGTTGTTTTTTAGACCAGTTTTACCACATAGAAGTCCCTGTTTGCTCCTGACAACTCAATACATATGCTATTTCCATCTAAAATATTTGTATTGGTTTAGTAAAATACAGTAAGACTTTACAGCTTATGTTAAGTTATAACTCGTTTCAGTATGGCTCTATTCAATAGCATTAGCAATGAAATAGCTCACATGAAATAAGAATGAACTTACTTTTAGAGCATTTATTAATCTTGCCTAATGTTAGTGCATTAATACATTTCAGGTTGTATAAATTAACATTAATTAATGTATTATGAATGAACATTAATTAATAATACAAAATACTACATTTTTAAGTTAACCTAGGTTAATAAATTCTGTTGAATTGCTGTTTATATTAGTTTATGATACCTAATTCATCAACTAGTGTTAATGTAATGAGCCTCATTGATAAAATATTATTATTATTATTATTTTTTTTTTTTACATTTAATTTTATTTATTTAACCAAGATGGTTCCACTGAGATACAATATCTCTTCTATTATAGAGTCCTGGTCAATGTTACCCAATAAGCATATATGTTAACATTTAGGTATAATTATATTATATTATATTATAAATTATATTGCATTATATTACATTATGTTATATAATATAAATGAACACTGTTCAAATTCATGTTAGTTCATAATGCATAAACCAATGTTAACATATAGTTATTCACAAAATGTTAACGTTCACAACCTTATTGTAACGTTTTACCATTATCATTATGCAAAGTTTATTTGGTATCATTCAGCTTATGAGTATTTAACATAAAATTACATCAGTGCATTGCATTATACTCATACCAAGGATTATGTAGGTCGCATCACACTGATTTACAAATTTGTCTCATTAAATGATGTTCATTGCCCGTAGAATTCTTTTTAAATGAACCCATTGTGCTTAGTGTGTGTGCACACCTATGAGAACGTTCCCCACCGCATAAGATTATGTATATTTCACGGCATGCCTCTCTCCCTCATTGATCTTTAATGCGCTCATGGCATTTTATCTTGAAAAACTGCTGTCATCTGAAAACTTTCTTTGAAATGCACAGGACTCTTGCTGCCCCCTGCTGGCAATAAAATGACATGAGATCAGTGAGTCTCTCAGTACTTATGTTTTTTTTTTTTGTCTCGTGAAAGAGGGAGAAATTACAAGCATGTATAGAGACATTGGGAGATGTTATATGCTACTACCATGGCATGACTTCCTCTGAACAACCAGAATCGTCTCTGATCCACCACCGAATGGTCTTCACAGGCACTGCCATTTTCACAATACGTCTCCTGCAAACCTTGTTACCTGTGGAGAAGGTGAGTGAGCATATGGCTGTGCCATTCTTAGACATTAATAAGCCGTGCCACCATCGCTGAATGGACATATGGCCGTGTCCTTCATGGTCATTTTTTAAACAAATGAGAGTGTGAAACACACCAGAAGTCGCTGTGACAGGGTCAATTGTTCAGTTAAGCTGTAGACCTAAGGACAGCACTGTAATTACAGACAAATTCATTAGTGTGTACATATGTGTGTTTATTACCTTATGTATGATGTCTTTACAAACAGGCTGGAGATAACCTTCCGGAAAGTACAGTGGCTGCCATTTTCCTTGTGTGTCTCGATTCATCCTTCAGTGTGGCGTACCCCCTCATCCATGAGTCAGCCGTGGCGTACCTAGAACAAGCTTGCTTTGAAAGATACAGCCTGTATCGTAGAGTATCACGCATTTCTCACTGCATGGAGGCTACATGCACTTTTTTAAAGGATGCACAGGCTGAGGTAATGATTGGACCAAACTTTCAAGACCAAATAACTTGCAGGTTATCTACTTGAAGAATATGTATCTTCTAGTGGACTCAGTGAATTAAGGCTTCCACTGTTGTTGAAATTCTGGTTGATACCGATAAGCTGATAATTATTACATAATGTTATAGCTGATATTAAACACTGTTAATGATTTGAGTCATTTTGAGGTTTCTAAAGGCTGATGTAATGCTTGGAAACTTTTAAAGGGTTAGTTCACCCAGAAATGAAAATTCTGTAATTAATTACTCACCCTCATGTCGTTCCAAACCCGTAAGACCTTCGTTCATCTTCGGAACACAAATTAAGATATTTTTGATGAAATCCGAGAGCTCTCTGACCCTCCCATAGACAGCAACACAACTGAAATGTTCCCAGGTCCAGAAACGTGGCAAGGACATCGGTAAAATAGTCGATGTGACTACAGTGGTTCAACCATAATTTTACGAAGCTACGAGAATACTTTTTGTGCGCAAAGAAAACAATAATAACAACATTTATTCAACAGTTCTTCTCCCCGAGTTACCGTCTTCTGCCATTTTGAAGAGTACCCCAGAACATAATCAACGTAATCAGCATTGTTTACGTTCAGCATGTGCGCTTTTATCCTGAACGTAAACAACGCTGATTACGTTCTTTGCCCCATGCTCCATCTAACCTGAGATCTAGCATGTAAGCCTGGATGCACAGCAATCTCAGTAACCGATTTGGTACCGATATATCGGGCAGTCCTAAGTTAAATTTTAATTAAGAAGATAGTAATGCAACTTGAATAATGGTTTGTTTTTAGACGACTAGCTCACGCAAATATTATTTCTTCACCCTCATGTCGTTCAAAACCTGTATGTTTTTATTTTCTGTATAACTATTACTTTAAGAATTATTAATAAAGTAAAATTGATTCAAGTGAAATGTTTCTTCACAGGGTGATAAGAATTGGCATGAGCTTTTGGAACTCGCTGACCAAGGAATAGATGCTTTTCTGTACCATCAGCACTTACCGGTGGTGAAGGAATGCGTCCAGATTTGCTCCTACCTGTAAGTTGCTCACAATTATGGAAACTGTAAAACCGCCATTGACATCTGCTGTTTCGTCTGGCACTGTGGAAGAGGTGTCATCGTATAAAAATCTGTAAAAATCGTGTCTCTTCGTAGGTGGAAATTTGCACAAGCAAGCCCGCTCCTGCAGTCGGAGAGTCAGAAGATATTTCTGAAACTTTTGTCTCATCCTCTGTCCCCGGTGAAGGCAGAAACCTACTCCTGCACTCTGAGCATTTTGAAGGTACAAGATGTGCAGTGGAAATTGGGAGATAGAGCCTATTTTAAGCCACTTCCAGTAGATGATATGTGACAGGAAAGACAGGGAAAAGTTCACCTAGTTTTGGAAATGTGAATATTCCAGCTAAACCAGCTACATTGTTGGTCAAAGTTGGACATTAACTGATCTAACATGGTTTTAAGTGCTTGACCCAGTCGTCCAGTGTTTCCTGTTCTGCAGTTCAGTGGCGAACCTCAAAGAAGAATAGCCACAATATATTACAAACAAATGACTCTTATGAATTGGACTCTGTTATGTTATTACATTCAACAAAATTAAGTATATTTTGTTTATTTAAGATTTGTGATATTTAAGTGCAGTTAAATACTAGTATTATATTATGTTATATTATGTTATTAACAAATATTTAATTATAATATTACATTTACACTACTGTCAGACTCTGGGCCAGGTTTTGTGTGTGTCTTTGCTCCCTATGTGCTCCGTCTTCCAGTTTCTCTGTCTCGTGTTTTGAATTCTTTGTTCCCAGGTGTTTCCTATGTTGATTGTCTTATTAGTTCCAGGTGTCCCTTGTCTTCCCCTCATCAGTTCCTGTGTATTTAAAGTGTGTTCTAGTTCTTGTCCTTTGTCAGTCGTTGAACGTCATTCTGTCATCCTGATGTGTCGAGTCCTGTGATCCCCAGCCTTTGTTAATAAACCCTTTTGAGTACTTTATCTCCGTTTCTCCTCGCTCCTTCGTTCCCGTGTTCCTCGTGTGTGTGCACCGTGACAACTACCAAGTAGTTTTATAGTTTGGGGCCAGTAAGATATTTTTTAAAGAACTTAATTCTTTTATTCAGCAAGGATGCGTTCAATTTAATAAAAAGAGACAGTAAATATATTTATAGTGTTACAAAAGATACAAAGATTTCTATTTCAAATAAATCCTGTTCTTTATATTTATCAAAGAATCCTGAAAAAAAAAAATCACCGTTTCCACAACTGTTTTTTTAAACATTGATATTAATAAAAATTATACCCGAGTACCAAATCTGCATTTTATAATGATTTCTGAAAGATCATGTGACACTGAAGGCTGCTGAAAATACAGCTTTGCCTTCACAAGAATAAATTACATTTTAAAATATATTAAAATGAACAGTTTTTTAATGTAATATTATTTGACAATATTACTGCTTTTACTGTATTTTTTATCAAATAAATGCAGCCTTGAAAACCATAAGAGACTTCTTCCAAACAATTGTGCCAATAAAAGTGTACCAATAAAATTGTACCAAAAACAGTATGTATTAAAATGTTACAAAAATCAAGTTTACTATATGTTAGCTATTATCCAAAGCACTTTTTAGAGTAGTTGGCAAGCTTGAGCACCTGATGACCTGGTATTTTCAGCTAGCAATAGACCTATAATATTTTCGTCAACAGCTCCATTTGTTAGGAGTAAAATGCTGTTACCCTTTAACACAACAGGTTGTGTGTAGTATACATTGAATTTCTATTAAATTGCCTACCAATTCTATTACACTCCACATAGGGTATTGGTGACCCCTGAACTCTGTAGACGGTAATATCCCACCCTAACTTCCTGCTCTCATCCCTACAGGAGTGTTTAGGAGTTCAGAATGTGGCCAAACCTGCCACATCCATCTGCAGCGGAGTGCATTTCTTGCTTCATTCCCGTGTCCTGTATGAGATCAGTATGTTTGGCCTTCAAGACCAAGCAAGAGAGGTGAATTATTCATCTTCCTGTTTCCAGCGAGACCCCAAGTAATGCACAAAGAAGAAATATTTTGATATACCAATACACAGCTCGCTGATAAATATTGTATCCACGCTCCATGTTTAATGGGTTACTGAGGTCGTGCTAAGCTAATGATTGACATTGGAAATGCCCCTGTCTCACTGCTGTAGCTGGCAGTTGGTGGATTTGGATGAGGTAGCTTGTTGTAAGTGCAATATCATAGCGCCATCAACTAACTTTATGTGTGATCCAAAGGTGAGCGCTGCTGCCAAGGATCTTCTACTCTATCTGCTGAAGGGACGATTGATGATGACAGCTGCAAGTTGGAGCAGATTTAATGAGGCACTTTACCCGGTCATTCCCATATTACAGGTGCAAACACTCTTTCCTTTCTCCACATCTCTCGTCACACGCACACACAAATGCACAGCCGCAATATAACCGTCAAACTGGGCTAAAAAATAATTTCCAATGTAATATTAACGTGTTTGCGAGACGCCCGAGGCTGAATGGTAATATCCATGTTACGCCGCATTCTATTTTAAACAAGGTTATTTTGTACTTTTCAACAAGCGAAGCTGTGTTTAATTTTTTTTTTAAACAACTTCCACTGCGGGTGGGGTGGGGTTGAAATTGAATATTCATAAATCTTGTCAAGGTCATCATATTTGATTCATTTTTAGCTGAAGCCTCCGGGTAATTGGTTTGTGCTGTCAATAAAGCAGTGGTGAAATGGCATTGTGTGTTGTTTATTGTTTTTCCAAGATGGATTTAAGCTTGAGAGTCTATTGTCTGCCATGGTTGTGTTAAAACTTGCGTTTTTGTATTTTAGAGTTACGCAAGCACTGAGGATGCCCTGGGAAACTGTATCCTGCTGATAAGTGAAGCATCTGCTGAAAAGGGAGGTGAGGTGTGCTCACTGACTGCTAGACTGCGGGCGGCCCTCCGGCTTCTGTTCACCAAGCATCATGCGTAAGTTAAACGTGCACATCGGTTTGGATATCAAATAATTTCTTTCACTGTCTTAAGGCAGTAATTACCAAAAGATGAAAATTCTGTCATCATTTACTCATCCATATCATTTTCTTTTGTGAAGCACAACAGGAGATGGTTTGTATAATATTAACGCTGCTATTTTCTAATGAAAATGAATGGGAACTTGAATATCAAGGTCCTCAAATTAATAGGCAACATAAAAGCAGTCCTAGATAGATATATTCCAAATCTTCTGAAAGCATACAGTAGCTTTCCCATGTGAAAAAGAAGTGCCATACATTGCATTGAATGTGCGCTTGAAGTTTACTTCAAATCTTAAAAAGATATTTTCATAACACTCTATTTTACCGTGTCCTTGTTACACGTTACATGTACTTACTATTAGAATAACAATAAAATATGCATAATTACATGCAAGTAAACCAAAGACAAACCCTAATCCTAACCCTAACCATATAGTAAGTACATGTAGTTAATTAATATTACTCAGTACTTAAATGTATAATTACACTGTAACAAAGACACCTTAAAATAGTGTAACCGATATTTTTTTTTAAACTGTACTTAAAGATAATGTGATATTAATAATGAAATAAGAGAGTACACTTAGAAAGTGTACACTTTCGAAACCATTTCTTAACTCAATTAAGTACACTTTGAAAAGTTCACTTTGTATTGTCAAATTAAACATTTTACTGTACATTTTAGGTCATTAAAATATATTTTAATAATAATTGTGTAATTCTTTAGAGAAGTACGCTTATTTTCATGTGTCAACTAACATGCGAAAGTACTTTATTATAATTTTAGGAGTACTGTTATTCAATATTACATTAATATACAAGTAAATATTTTTTAAATGTACTAAATTGCAACTTCATCATTTCAGATTTGTTATTACAAGTGTATTTGACATAAATACATGACATAAAAGTTAGAATGATAGAATAATCAAATCAAAATAATCAAAATCAATAATGACAAAATGACACTAAATTATATTTTAGTTTACCGTAAATGCTTGTCAGTACATTCTGCATTACACTTATTTTTACACAATATATATATTTTTTTATGACAATATAAGTAATTATGAAATTTTATATAAAAATGTACTAAATAAGTGGGTCAACAAAGCTCTCTAAAGTTCAGCTAATTGCATTTAAAGTAAATTTAGACTATAATACGTTCTCATTTAATTGCAGTTGACATGCAGTTTAGTGTCCGAAAACATGAAATAAATATACTAAATGTAAAATATATTATTTTAGTAATAAGTACTTTGATTATTTAATTATTCACAGAAAATATTGCTAGACAGCATTCACTTTTATTGTATAGAAAAGAGCAGCTTGGACTTTAGGCTTAATACCTTCTTCCCAAATTCTGTAAATATTTTGGCTCTGTTTGCAACTTTTAGTGTGAGGAATACAGCAGTCCAACATCTGCTACCACACCTGACCAGCGCTGGTGGAGCCAGACCAACCCTGGACAGCTCCACACCGTCATGTTTACCAGATCTCTATGTTCTTAATAAAAGTGTGGACATCAAGTTGAGCAATTCAGACAAGTCATATGTGAAGGTAAATCACTGCCCTCACTCAGCTGTGTATTAATAATGCACTCTAGTGTTGTATTGAGTAGTTGTTGGTGAAGAACCATTACTGGCATTGACATCATGTGAAAAAATGCTGCTTTATTCTTGGAGGTGTTGAAACAAGCTTCGGTTAATGCTCTGTTTTTTTTTGTTTGTTTTTTTAAACAGGTGGAGTCTGTAAATAAGTTGTACAATATTCTCACGTCAGAAACGGTAGATCTTGTTTTGCGGAGATCTGCGGCTGAACAGCTGACTATTGTTCTGCAAGGTGAGGAATCCATACTTTTTATTTCATGAAATAAAATAAAAATAAAATACTTATTTTATGAAATAAAATAAACATTAACTGAAGTTTTATTTCATCTAGTTGCCAATGCAGCATTTCTCATATTTGTTTAGTTTAAGTTTAAGATAACTAAAACTAAATAAACATGCTTAAAAAATGAAAATGATGAAAACTTATTAAAAATGTAACTAAAAATGATAACAGAAAATAAAAAAATTAGTCTAATTTTAAAATATTAACAAAATCTATAATGGTATATCAATAATGCTAAATTAACAATGGTGCATCCAACCACCCGCATTAATGCACTGTTGTCTTTTACATTCAATTTTCAAAGCTCCATTTTTCTCAAAACGCCTCACAAACCAATTTTAAGTGTTTTGAAGCAATAGTTTTAATCTCTGAAACATAAATTGATAAAGCAGATAACATATTTCAACATGTGCTAGAAACAAAGCCAGTCTTGATTTATATTTCATTATGTTCTTTACAGATTTATCAATGCATGCTGTGCTGAAGGCCTTTGGTTTATCAGACATGCTCATATCTTTCATCACGGAGTGTGTCAACAACAGTGTGGCGGTAAACCTCACATTCTCTTTTGTTTCGTGCGCTTTTTATCTTGAATGAATTCAGGAAACTGGTGCCTGGGCATGATGCTTCAGTTAATGGTGTCAGTCAAGAGTGAGTCAGTATTAATTCACATCTATTGCATGATCTGTACATCCCTAGGCTGAAAGCTGCCAGCTTTGTCGAGTATGCTAATGTGACTAATTAGCGAAAATTATGCACCGAAATGTCTGGCAATTATGCCACGAGCAGAATCCGATATGTCGCCTCCAATTGCCACGCCTAGTTAGTGCTGTTAATGTCAATTGTGACTTTGCTTTGGCTGTTTGTTTTGACTCTTGCCTTGGCTTTGAGGCTATCTAAGTTTTTGTGGTGTTATAGTCTTACTGTGAATGTTATGACGAGTATGCTAATGTGACTAATTAGCGAAAATTATGCACCGAAATGTCTGGCAATTATGCCACGAGCAGAATCCGATATGTCGCCTCCAATTGCCACGCCTAGTTAGTGCTGTTAATGTCAATTGTGACTTTGCTTTGGCTGTTTGTTTTGACTACTTGCCTTGGCTTTGAGGCTATCTAAGTTTTTGTGGTGTTATAGTCTTACTGTGAATGTTATGACTGTGGTCGGAATTTTGTTGACTGTGTAAACACTTCTAGACTCAATCATGATGACTTGTTATGACTTTTACCACTAGCAAGGCAGCACCAGTGGCATAACACCTTTCTAAACAACTTAGCACTTCAGTAGTTTATTGCGGATGTGGTTTTCCCTTGGTTTGGTTTGGAGTGTGAAAGTTCTTCTGATGATTATTAAAACTTCTTTAATTATCTCACTTTATTTTATTCAGTACTTCCAAGAAGCCCAGGCCTTTGCAACTCATGTCTTGTGCCTTATCTACGGGATCTATTGACACTAGAAGGTTTTGAATTCAGGTTTTTATTCATTATGTAGAGCATGGATTGCTTGTTGGAGCCCAGCATATGCATGCTGAGGAAGCTGGTGTTTGCAGACCCCTCCCTGCGTCACAGTCTGGCTCAGCAGACGTCTCTTCTCATCATGCTGCTCAGAGGTACGGCCCGCAAAACATCCCTCCAACATTAATTCATTCAGTTTACCGTAGATAATTAGTCCCAAGCACCAAAGTTTTGTAGGCACCTTTTGTAGCTGTTAGTTTTCTTATTATTTTTCATTCTCTTGGATTTTTGTTTATGTCAGCCACTTTGGTATAATGATTGGGAAGGCTTTCAATGTTCATAGTGCCAATTTTGGGTCATTCTCTCAGTCCCTCTAGTGCCACCAACAGTTCATAATTCAGTAGTGCGGTCACTAATGTTAAAATTTTTAACATTGGTAAGTTTAAAAAAAATTTTTTTTTAAGAAGTCTCTTACGCTCACCAAGGCTGCATTTGTTTAAAGAATACAGTAATATTGTAATATTATTACAGTTTAAAATAAGTGTTCTATTTGAACATATTCTATAATGTAATTTATTATTTGAATGGCAAAAATGAATTTTCAGCATTTGATGGCATGTATTATAACTTAAACAGGAAGTGAGAACATGTTTAATTCATTTTCTTATTAAACTGATACTTGGTAGATGTAATTGCCATTATGTCTTACTGGTGACAGCATCGCCTGCTAATCAAAATGTCATTAAACTGGCTGAAAATTGCATCATTTTGGATAATAAAGTCATGTTTTTTCTCTCCATATGCTTGTGAAGGCTTAATTGCCATGGTTTCAAGGTCTGCAATCTTTTACAAATATTAGCTTAGACCACCTGCACATCAAAACTCATAAATATGAGTAATTGGATATTTTAATTTCATAACCATTTCAACACATGCAAACAACTCAATGGCAATTTTTAAAACAAAACGTCATTCCCACCATGCCCTAAGTGTTTAAGCAAAGTATGAAGTTAATAGATCAATAGATATATGCAACATATCTTCTAGCCTTTCAAACAAACAAACAAAACTGATTACATGTTGTGACATCACAGATCTACTGTGTTTGCTAAATCTACTGGTGTGTTTGGCAAAGGGATAGTTCACCCAAAAATGAAAATTACCCCATGATTTGCTCACCCTAAAGCCATCCTAGGTGTATATGGCTTTATTATTTCAGATAAATACAATCAGAGTTATATTAAGAAATGTCCCTAGATCCATGTGGAGTCATTTTTATGATGGATGTTAAAAAGAATTTTGGCTTCAAAATCTCGACCACTATTCACTACCATTATAAAGCTTGGAAGAGTCAGGACATTTTTGAATTTAACTCTGATTGTATTCGTCTGAAAGAAGAAAGTAATATACACCTGAGATGGCTTGAGGGTAAGTAAATCATGGGGTAATTTTCATTTTTGGGTGAACTATCCCTTTAATTGCTGCTCGTAATTGCACACTTTGTTTATTTTTATATTTACTGCTGAAAATGCAGAGCTGTTGCCACTCTCCTTCCAGTTCTCTAGTCTAGAACATTGCACAAATGGCAAATGTAATTTTTATGCATGCCCCACTAGGGATGGGTACCGAAACCCGGTATTTAATATATATATATATAAAACAAAAAGTACCGATAAGAATACTGTTAAAGTACCGAATCGATAAGCAGTATCGGTAAGAGTAGTAGTACCGTTAAAACCTTAACGATACCCATCCCTATGCCCCACATTAGGGCTGTGCAGATAATCGAATGCGATTTTCATGCGCATCTCGTCAGTAAAGCCGGTTCTGTGATTAGTAGTAAATCTCCAGCACGTGCTTTCAGATGGAGCGGCATTTACTACACAGAGCTGTAGTTCACTGACAAGCTACACAAAATCGCATTCATAATCGGCAATGAATCGCCTGCTATTTTGAACGCGATATTGCGTAGCTTGTCAGCGAACTACGGTTCTGTGTAGTAAATGCCGCTCCATCTGAAAGCACGTGCTGGAGACTACTAATCACAGAACCGGCTTTACTGACGAGATGCGCATTAAAATCGCATTCGATTATTTGCACAGCCCTACCCCACATGTTCTGACATTTACAAGCATTTTCAAGTGAAGAGCTCACCAGTATGCTGTTGCTGAGTGTTTGTGATCGCCTAGAGTATGGTGATGTAAAATTTGTTTTTCTGGCTCAAGCCCTTTTTGTTTTGTTTTGCTTTGCTTTAACAATATATAATCGATGAGTTGTTGCTTTCCCTGTTATAGTTTTGTTTTCATGTTTTATTTTACCTTGCTCTCGGAATGTAGCCCTTCAAGCTACTGCACCACAATTAACCATTTTTAATGTGTATATATACTGTACGATTCCTGCTTTGACACCTTTGTACATTTAAATGATTGCTCTCCTGGTAATTTTACTTCTTTTGTTGCATCTTTTTAAGCTTCTCTGTTGATAAAGGAGAAGCAGGGTGATGTGAGCGAGGCTGCCGCATTGATGTGTATTCTGCTGTTTGATGAAATAGCAAGAATGGATGTTTGGTATGTTTTCTTTGTTGTACAATCTATGTGTCTATATGTAAAATATCTGCACCCAGTTGCATTCAACCCTGTCAGTAAACAAAACCCTAATTGATGACCTTCTTATAATTATGAATAAGTGTTTTCTTTAACTTAAAAGAATAGTTTACCCAAAAATTAAAAATTAGCTGAAAATGTACTCAACCTTAGGCCATCCAAGATGTAGATGAGGTTGCTTTATCGGAACAGATTTGGAGACATTTATCATTACATCACTTGCACACCAATGGATCTTCTGCAGTGAATGGGTGATGTCAGAATGAGAGTTCAAACAGCTGATTACAACATCACAATAATTCACAAGTAACACACATGACTCCAGTCCATCAATTACTGTGTTGTGAAGTAAAAAACTGTATGTTTGCAAGAAACAAATCCATCATTAAGGTGTTTTAACTTTAAACTGTCGTTTCTTTAATCCGTAATCCAAATCGGACATGTTTGTTTAGTACTGTTTTAGGCTATTGTCACCTGTAAATGGTGCTTGATCTGTGCATATTTCTCTCCTGATTTGGACGAGATGACTTTTTCTTTTGAAAAAGGACTAGCAATGGTTTGTTAAAAATGTCTTAATGATGGATTTGTTTCTTACAAGCAGCATGCAGCTTTTCACTTCACAAGACGTGATTGCGACATTTTTATCAGCTGTTTGGACTCTCATTCTGATGGCACCCATTCACTGCAGAGGATCCATTGGTGAGCAAGTGATGTAATGCTCAATTTTTCCAAATCTGTTCTGATGATGAAGCAACCTCATCTACATCTTAGATGGCCTGAGAGTGAGTAAATGTAAGGAAATCTTCATTTTTGGTGAACTGGTCCCTTAAATGTATACTTCACCCAAAAATTTAATTAAGTGGGGTCCATTGTTGTTTTGGACTCTAATGACTTTCACTGTATAGACAGAAACACATAAAAACCAGAATGCTTTGGCTCATGTTACATTTCAACATCTTTGTTTCATGATCAGGACTGATAAAGCTGGCCCAGACACAGGCCTGTCTTCCTTCTCACTGCCTGCTGCCATTATACGGAGGTAAATCACATCCATTACGACATTCTAGCCGTTTAATTTCACCATAACCTTACTTTCAGAGTTGTCATGGGTAAATTAAATGGTGATTAACTATTATTTGACAGATTAATTGTGTATAAAATGTTATCTCACAATTTCTCACAGGTATAATCTGCCGTTTCAAGCTCCTTCACACCATGCAGTGAGTCCCTACTGTTCAGTTCTTCCTCCATACTCAGACCTGCTGAGTCTGAAGCCTGCCTGGGAAGCACTGCAGATCACCTGGAACACAGCATGGCATTCTGGGATTGATGGACTGCTAGAGCATCTGAGGGGTTTTAGGAGTGATGTACCTGAGTAAGTTGGATTTGGGTTTTCAGAGATTTTGAAAATGTAATTTAATTTGTAACACTTTACAATAGGGCTGGGCGAAATAACTAAAAAAATTATCACAATATAATGTTTCATAACGTTCGGTATCGATAATTATTGACAATTTTTTATAACCTTTCTTAAACAGCAGTAGAAAAAAGGTTTAAATTTAACCACTGTATTTTTAATTTACCCAATTTATTAAGACAAACAACAACTTTATTTTAGTCTTAAACAAAATAACAAATAAAACAAAATAAAATAAAATTTAAACAAATATCTCCTTTCTTATATAAATATTTGTCCTGTCTCCTGAGGCCACAGGAGGGCGCAATGAGCAAAATAATGCACCTCATTAAACGGTTTATTCAATGCAATGAAAATAACGGCTGTCTATAAAAAAGTACATAACGTCTAAACTAATATTTATAAATCAAATATGATTTCGTAAATTGCATAAAAAATTATGAACAAAACAGCATCATGTATATATGCATAGCTTAATACAAATACCCAAAGCGCCGATCACATTGCATGTAAAAACATACGAGACGCAGTGGAATGGAATAAAACCCCCTCAAATTCTCAAGACATGTTTTTTAAAAGTTGAACCTCTTTTAACTTTACATGGCTTTCTATTCAACTCTTGTGCGAGACGTGAGTGCAACAGTCATAGTTGTGCGTCTCAAGAATGCGTCGAATATCCGTTCTGTGTGAATGGCTTGGTTTCAGTTTTAACCTAACCAATATCTTCTCCACATTGAGCTTCTATAGTTCTCTAATATTTTGAATGGGAAATGCAGCAGCGGCGCATCTTGTGGTTTCAACTGGATATAGACTAACAAAAACATTAAAATGCAACAACATCATCCTCACCGCATCTCGTGCACCGCTGATAAGGCTCCCTGACGCACACCTAAAATTCAAATATACCGTTTTTTCATTTGAATGCGAATTTTTTTTTTTTAATTCGACTAATATTCCTTTTTTTGATTCACAGTCTCCTGATCGCAGGCAGGCACGGCACTCGTTTCAGCGTGTGTTTGTGTGTTCTGTTGGCTCTCTACTTGTCACTCATAACACGCGCCTTTAAATGAAAAAGCATGAAACTATTGTGCGATATATTGAAATTTTTTTCTATCGTTATCGATGATGGTGTACCATCGATAAATATCGATACCGTTTTATCGCCCAGGCCTACTTTACAATAAGGTTTCATTTGTTAGCATTAGTTAATATTACAGCATACATTAATATGTCATTGTCAACATAATAAATTCAACATTTACGAATACATTTTAAAATCAAAAGTTGCATTTGTTCAATTAATGCAATGTAAACTAATTTGAACAAACGGTGAACAATTATATTTTACTGACTAATATTAACAATGATTAATAAATGCTTTAAAAATATATTGCTCATTGTTAATGTTAGCTAATGCATTTTAGTAAGTGACATTTTGAAAATATTTTATTTATTTGTTTTTAAGCACTAAAATTGTATTGAGCATTAGAAGTTTTGGGTAGTCAATCTGGATCATCTTAAGAGTTGAGACAAATCGCTTTCATTGTTGAACAGTTCTGAAACTTTAGCAGCGTACAATTTATGTTTTAGGATAAACGTCATTTTAATACGCAGCAGCTGTTGTTTTGTTACCAAGATTAAAATGATTACAGATCTGCTGGCAGTAAACCTGTCTGGCCTCCTTAAAGAAATAAATGAAAAAATTAATTTACTGTCATCCCAAAGCTGTATGATGTTATTTATCTGTGGAAGGAAACTCTTATTTATTTATTTTGAAGAATCTTTATGTAACTCTTGCAATACATCAACAGTTCATGGTGACCATCTGTGTAAAAAAAAAAAAAATAATAACAAGGAGGAATCAGACAAATTCATTCTGGAGTTCTGAATGTCTTAATGTTTTCTCGCTACACCTCTTTAACCCTCATTTTTTATTTCTAAGGTTTCATGGTGAACTGGTGCTGTCTGAATCTCAGGCGGTGGTCTTAAGAATAAGCAACTTAAAGTCCGGGTTACATGACTGTGTTCACAAGGTACGGGACGCGAGCTCCCACAGCACCGTGACCTTCGCCATGACCAGGATGCACCTGTACCTCCTCGCAGACCGCCTTGCACTCAAATCCACCGCCCAGAGCAACAAGAACATCCTGCAAACCCTGAGCTGGCACAACGCTGTAGAGAGGTAAGCTCTCTGTGTGTTGATCTATTGATTTGTTTTCCTGCACCTCCAGATTTGTGATTTGTGATCACCAGGCATGACTTTGCATGAGCTTGATGGAGTGCACCAGCATATCACAGCGCTAAACAATGAATAAGCTGACACATTCAGACACGAAGCGGAACAATGTTTTATCTTTGGCAAAATAAAGCTTGTGCTACGACTATATATAGTACTGTTCAAAAGTTTCAGGTCAGATATTTTTTATTTTTTTCTGAAAGAAATTAATTATTTTGTTCAGCAAAGATACATTAAATTGATCAAAAGTGACAGTAAAGACATTTATAATGTTACAAAAGACTTCTCTTTCAAATAAATGCTGTTCTTTTGAACTTTCTATATATCAAAGAATCCTGAAAAAAATGTATCATGGTTTCTGCACAACTGATCATATTTTATGTTTCTTGAGCACCAAAACAGCATATTTGAATGATTTTTGAAGGATTGTGTGACACTGAAGACTGGAGTAAAGGCAGCTGAAAATTAAGCTTTGCCATCACAGGAATAAATTACATTTTAAATAAATAGAAAACAGTTATTTTAAACTGTAATGATTTTTTTTTAAAAAATCAGCCTTTTTGATCAAATACATGCAACCTGGTGAGCATATGACATTTAATATAAAAAAAAATCTTAGTAGCATAAAGGTAGTATAAAACACTGCAGTGCAATAAATTGTGCATGTGTTTAACCAGAGAATGCACACAGTCTAAAGTGAAATAAGTATTTTGTAATAACCATTTAAAAAATAATACACACTTACAAAATAAGACACATATCTTACATATTTTTTCATATATTACACCCTTTGAACATTGAGAAATATAGAGAAAATGTATTAATGTATTTTTAATGAAATAAATAGTACAGCCTTGGTAAGAGACTTCTCTCAGAATCATTAAAAATCTTACCAACCCCAAACATTTGAATAATAAAGTAAACTGTTTTTATTAATCTGACAGATTTCTGATGGTACGTCCAGCTTGTCGTCAAGATGAGAGGCTCTTGGTGGACATTGTGTCATTCCTCAACACCTTCTTCAAGCAGAACCAGTCTGAACTGGACCACCAGGACCTAAAATGGCTCTTAGAATTACTCCTAAACCAGGTATTCCTGAATAAACCACAGCTGTCTTGAATCTGTTATGGATGAGTGCCTGCATTTCTCCGAGATTACTTTGGAGACCTCGTAAAACAATAAAGAGACTTATTGTACCTTGGTAATTAAATTAGTTTGCCCTCCTGCCTCAGATGCACCTCACAGTGTGCTGTATTTATTAAGAAAAGCTGAAATAAATCACACTGTGGAGCAATACAAATACATTAATATCATATTAACGCTTGTAACGGAGAGGCGTTCATCAGCAGTCATTGTTTTTGTTTCTCACACTGGGGATGAATGGTTTTATTTCTTAAGTCTCTTCCTGCCTTACCTCACATTAATGTGTATGTATGCAAACAAACCTGACAGAGAACGCTGGGTTTGATGAAATGCCTGGTGGGGGAGGTGGTGAAATTCAGAGAGCATCCACAGTCGCTGGAGTGTTTCTCAAACATTTAAATGATTTTAGCAAATGGCTGCAATATAACAAAGAGTGAAACATTTAAGGGGGTCTGAATACTTTCCGTACCCACTGTAAATGAAATTTAGAAATGTTGCTTTGTCAGCTAACCAAAATAAAGTTGAAGTACTAAGATTACAGAAACTGAAATTAAAATAAATTAAAGCTAAATAGAAATATTAAACAACGAACTGACAAAAAGTGAAAAAATGGCCATCACATAAAATTACTAAAACTAAAATTAAAATAAACACTGAAAATATAACAAAAGCCAGTTCAAAATATTAAAGTGCCCCTATTTTGCCATTTCCATTATTGCCTTTCATGCAGTGTGTAATGTAGCTCTATGTGAATGTAAACAATCTGCAAAGTTGTAAAGCTGAAAGTGCACGATAAATAAAGTTATTGTCTCCCAAAATAAAGAATCGACTCTGTACAGCTAAAACGAGTCGTTAGTAATTCGAATCATGCTTCCGTGATGGCTACACGTCACGGGGTAACACATTTGCATAATGCGCGCCTATGTTCTACGTTTGATCCCGTCTTGACCCCACCCACAAACACGTCATTCTACTGACGACTGCTTCTCTAATCTCAATGCGAGTTCAACGCGGGATTCACAAAACGCTTGCTGTTGAAAGATGGATCAGTATCCTGTTTATTTGGACCAGCTGCGCCACTGAATCACAACCTGTAAGTATGATAAATAATAGATGTTTATATTTTCTATAGAACATTCAAAATACATAACTAGTGAAATAGGCGTATCGTTTCCGACACGCGCTGTATGCCGTAGACCAATCACAACAGACTAGGCCATCTGACCAATCAGAGCAGAGCAGGCTCACGGAAAGGAGGGGTTTAGAGAGACTGAATCTTAGATTAAAAAAGACGTATTTCATAGGGCCTTGACATTTTAATTTTTGTTAAACTTTTAATAAATTGTTGTGTAAATTTGTATCTAAATAAATATGAAGGAATTTGATTTCTAGTGATGCTGACTGAGTAATTTGTAATAAAGCTGCTGTTTTTAGTGTCATTCCTATGACAGACGAGGATGAGGTTGGTGTCATCAAATTGTGTTCAGCTGAATCTGGAGGTATCCGAGAGCCGTAATTGACAGATTGCACCCACCTCAGTCACCGGCTACAGAGAGAACTGACAGGCCTCTTCAACACTCTGCTGCTTCGAATGACACACACTTCTGACAGGTAACACACACACACACAGCGGTGGGTGACACAAATGCAGGATAACGACTCACAAACTGAATGAGTCACTCTCAAAGTCACAAAATGACTCACTTGACGCATTTAGCGACAGACTCACACTTACTGACTCACTCATATTCTTTAACACGTGCAGTGAACCATCGGACTGCTCTATCTATAGAACAGTCCCACACACACTGTGGCACCTGTCCTGTTTGAAGACTATTAAAAATTTAATTTCTCACCATTTCTCTTGACTGACTGTTAGGCCATAATATACTACAATTCCAAAGTTTGGGGTTGGTAAGATTTTTTTTAATGTTTTTGAAAGAAAATGTTTATGAAGTCTCTTAAGCGGAGTAAAAAGAATAATGTTGTGAAATATTATTATTTTGATATATTTTAACAATGTGATTTATTCCTGTTATGCAAAGCTAAATTTTTAGCAGCCTTTGCTCCAGTCTTCGGTGTCACATGATCCCTCAGTAATCATTCTAATATATGGATTTGTTGCTCAAAAATATTCTTCTCATTATTATCAGGGTTGACAACAGTTCCTTGTGGAACCTTTTTTTAGGATTCTTAAATGCTGTTCTTTTAAGATTTAAATTCATTAATTTTAAATATTTTGTAACATTATAAATTTATTTATTGTCAGTTTTGATCGATTTAATGCATACTTGCTAAACAAAAATCCTCCTGACACCAAACTTCAAATGGTAGGCCTATTTACCAGGGTATTCCAGCTATTGTAGCTAAATCATGGCTTGAAATTAACTTTTTTTTTTTTACACTTGATAGCACTGGTGCTCTTAACTAGAGACCTGCGCGGGATGGATTTTTCAGTCCTGTTCCCGCATACATGTATCTTATCTGGTCCCGCTCCCGCCCGCAACATTCATGTTTTGTCCCGCTCCCGCGCACATAAAAAGTAGCCTATATAGATTTTTTTTCAGTACATCGATTAAATTTACATGAAATAGCTCTGTAACATCTCGTAAGTTCCACAACATCACAGCATAAACGTTCCCATTAAAATATTTGTTATTTAGGCTACGCATCAACATTCACAAATCACTGTAACAGAAAAGCAAGCACAGGCTGCTGCGTGCATGGTTTGGCATGGCAGAATTCCAGCAAACAGCGCTCCCTTATATCCAGGGCCGGATTTACGCATAGGCATTCTAAGCACGTGCCTATGCTCGCTCGTCCAGGGGGGGCCCAAACACAATGAAGAGATATATAATATTTTTGTTATACTATGGGATGTCTACAACAGTAAAAGAACCAAAACCCCAGAAGACATTGAGCAAATAAATATAACAAACAATAGGGTAAAAATGAAAAACTATTTCCATGTCTTCAACCTTTTTTATGTACGGAAATCACGCTTTCTTTCTCCCGTTCTCTCTCACAGATGCACACACAGTACAGACACGCACTCGCGCACACATGCGGAGACGCGGACAGAAACTTCTTGTCAGAGCTGCGGCTGCCCCGCGAATTTATCAATAAAATAGTTTCGCAGCTGAAAAGCTACATGACATTTCTCAGTAGCGAGGTTCTTGAAGCAGTTCAACTTAAAGGGGTCATATGATGCTGCTAAAAAGAACATTATTTTGTGTATTTGGTGTAATGAAATGTGTTT